TCTGTTTTGGAACCAGGCTCTGTTTTAGAACCAGGCTCTGTTTTAGAACCAGGCTCTGTTTTAGAACCAGGTTCTGTTTAGAACCAGGTTCTGTTTTAAAACCAGGTTCTATTTTGAACCATGGTCCATTTTAGAAGCAGGTTCTGTTTTAGACCCAGGTTCTGCCATGTCCTTCAGTCGTCTTGCACCCCCTCCATGTTTTCCCTCCAAAGTGGCGCAGCTGGAATCCTCCAGAGGAAGCGGACCTGAACACACTCGCTCATTCACTGTTTAACTGCAGGCAGCTCACACTGTTAATCATTTCTTAGCTGATATGGAGACGTGTTAGCATGGCTGAACTCTTTCCTCATGTAGCAAAGCCATGCACTCACTCACTTCTCTCTTAGATTAGCCTTGGATTCAGAGGAACAGTTCAGGTCATGTTTCTGAGGAGGAAACACTGAACAGCTCATGTTAAACACTACGCTGTCCTCCAGAGTATTTAACTATCTGAGATGATTGGATGCTCTCATTAGTGACTCTACCTCGTTCCTTTAAATTCTGGACATGACTGTTACACTGTTCACTATGACTGAATAAAACTGACGTCCTAAATTCCCGTGTCTTGTAATCTCTGTCCTTGTGTTCTCTGACTCCCACAAGGTGATGCTTTCTGGTTTTGTTGCACACATGATCACAGTTTTCGAGCTGTTTTCACCAGCTCATAAGCCTGGAGGAGCTGAGGCAGTCCTCTTTCTGCCCAACATATCTATTGGCAGGAGCATGAAAGAATAAGTGATCTGTTTGAGCCTGAAGGAAAATCATTAACGTTATTAATTGCATGAAAACCTGGGTCTTGTGGGTGCTGACACTTACCAAAGGCCCGTTTTTATCTTTAAATGATTAATCCAGCAAGGTAATCATTTCCTCCCACTTTTTTTCAGCGTGCAAACAAAGACAGAAGAAATTATTTTTCACACTCCTCTGAATGAGTTATTTGGTGTCAGTGTAGATGTTGTATAATAAATAATAACAAACCAGTTTTAATATTTTTTTATTTGCTCTTCGGTGAATCAAGATTTGCATGGGCATTCAGCTGAAAGACAGCGGCAGGTCATCTGAGCCGGGTTTACTTATTCTGCCAAATCAAAGCTAAAAATAACACTCAAGTCAATGAGCTTCAAGAGAAATGCCACTTTTTTGGCTGACCTGGAATTGTCAGAAGTGAGGGCTACAGCCCACACTGTTAGCTGCACAGCAGATAAAGTAGGTCTGCTTGCTAAATAAGCGAATGAATAGGTTAGCGCTTGCAGAATAAAGTCCTCTGTGCTGGGTTAAAAAGTACTGCAGACATTTGAGAAAGCAGTGAAATGATTTACAGTCCTGGCTAAAAGTACCAGCAGTCATCATCGGTGTTAATCTCACATTTTTTAGCATTTTAAAGCAGCATTTGGATCTTTTCTAAAGTCACGGTGAAATGAAAGGCTGCAGACGGAGAAAGAAGAAGCAATTAATATTTAAACCTTTCATCAAAACATAGGTCTGCAGCTTCCGAGGAGACAAGTCGAATGACTTCTGGGGAAAAAAATTGGAAAATGAAACAAACAATGAACTCATGGGCCAGACTGGCACAAAAATGCTTGGAGGAGTCCTGCTGAGAGGTTTTAAATAAAAGAGCAATGCTGTAACTGGCAGGCTAACATTTATCTGCCAGTTGCCACCGATGCATCGCACAAAATGAAAGAGAGAGAGAGAAGAGCTGACAAAAAATATCAACAAGGCTGCACCTGTAGGCAGCGGCTTGATACAGCTCTCGATAACACCAAACCAAAATGCTGCCTATTTGGAGCATATATATTTATCTTGAAATGCTCTGAACTTTCATATCAATGCAATTTTGCACTATGTTTTTTTTCTCCCACACTGTTTACATTTGATCACTGCTGTACTTTATGGCATTGAAATGTTCATTTTACTGCTAAGCTGCTGCTCATTTACTGTCTGAAAGCTGTACATAGCGAAATTTCGTTTTGTATACAATGTGTTTAAAAAATGACAATAAAAATTCTCTAAGTTCTTCTGCTTTGCCTCAGATCTACAGCTGGAGGGTTGGATAGAAGAGTGTTTTCGAACAGGACAGTGGTCCTGGATACAGAAACTAAACTGGGTTGGAATGGCTTTACCCCAATTCTTGGTCAAATTTGAAGGGCAGGTTCATGTCAAGCGGAATTATGTCAGAAAATGGATGGAAGCTACAGAAGTCTTACAGTAAAGACTTAATAAGGATGGATGCCACACTGATGCAATTATTCATGTATAAAAGGGAACTTTTCAGAAGCCTGATATTTGTGTCTCTTTTTTTGTTGATCTTATGCAATTTTCTTATAAGTAACTCAATTTTGTTTTAATTATCTGTGACCCATAATCATGAAATTTTAAGAAATATAAAATGCATATAGCATTATTAATACTGATGTCACCTGCATAAAAGCTTTTGACCAGAACTGAGTCTGCATGAGTACATATAAAGAAAAAAAAACAAACTATCTTCGATTTGATGGCTGTGTGTGAGTGTTTTTTTGTTGTTGTTTTTTTTTACTAGCTTACTCTGTATTTCCTCCCAGTGTTCGGGGATGTCCCATGAGCTGCTGGTTTGGGTCCAGTATTAACCGATGGCACTGAGTGTGTGGTTTTGTTGGTTTAGTTTTTCACACTCTTTAACTTAATATCATAAGGGTATTACATTGGACTAAATACATCAGACTTTATAAAAGTTATGAATATTATATATGTGTGTTTTTTCTTTTTATTTAGCAACTTTCACATGTTGATGTCTATTGTCATGATCCGTCTTTGAAAAGGGCTTCAACGGGGGCCGACGGAACCAATGCTCCTGCAGAACTGGTTCTGGCCCATGTCATGGCCGCTTTTCAGGCATGGAACATGACTTTAGACATCGACATGTGTATGTTAATAAAATAAAATAAATCTCACATCTAAAAAATTCAAATGTTTTGATTTATTCGCCACTAAAAGTGGCCTGGGTATAAATAATGCTTAGACCTCACAGTTCATCAATTAACTGTAGTTGGCATTTATTCTTCAGACCTCCTTCACATCGCCACCTCCTCCCGCTTCCTTAGATCGTCCTCCTCCATCCACCTCACTGTATCCCCAGTTCAACTTGTCACCATGGGGAGCAGAGCCTTCAGCCACTCTGCTCCCCAGCTCTGGATCTCCCTCCCTCCTGACCTCCGCAGTATTGACTCTCTCTCCTTATTCAAAACCAGACTCAGAACCCATCTGTTCCAGCTCACTTGTTTGTAAATAAATTGCTCTTGTCCCTCCCTATAACTGTTTTTATGTTTCTGTATTTGTGTTTTTGTATTTTCATTTTTATTTTCTGTAAAGTGACCTTGAGTGTCCAGAAAGGTGCTGTTAAATAAAATGTATTATTATTGTTATTATTATTATTATTATTATTATTATTATTATTATACCCCTTGCCCAGGGACAACAGTTGCACACTGGCTTCATAGCTAATACTGACACATTTACAGAAATGTTTATCAATGTGTGCTGTCGCTAACAAATAGTAAAATAAATTAATAACAATTTAACTTTCTAAAAAAAAATAGATCTATAACATTTTGGGTAAAAAAAACCCGGTCCAATCTACTCTTCTCTGCTCTTGAAACAGCATAAACAGATTTCACACATTTCTTTAGAACTAATACTATTAGTAATAATAATTATTATTATGATAAAGATATTAATAATGATAATTCAATTCAGTTTA